GATGAGATACAAAGTTCACAATTCTCAGCAAACCATCAATCTATGATGCACCGATACAGACACGAGGGTCCAACACGATACGTGTTGGATACGTCGACTCGTGATTTTTCAAAAAAGTACCAACACGACACGTCGTCAACACGTTAATTAAATTCTTTAAAATTTTTCATTTTGGCCCCATTTGATAGCCATTTTTTTCAAACTGCATTTTTCTCTCTCTTCTTTTCAACCACACATTCTTTATTAAAATAATATTACACGTAAATCAAAAAATTTTCCTTATTTTTCAACCACACATTCTTTATTAAAATAATATTACACGTAAATCAAAAAATTTTCCTTATTTTTCAACCACACATTTCACATCAATTTGCTATTCTAAAATGCATTTTTACATAAAAATGCCTGTCAAACACCCCCTTATATAGTATATATTTATTTTTAAACTTATTATTGATTTTTCTTGTTGAAATATTTTAAATATGAGTATTTATTTGTTATTTAGTAATAAATTTTAGTTAAAAATATATAATAGCTATAGTAAGAAAAAATGATTATTGTAAAGTATCCAAAGAGTATCGGTATCGATACGAGTCCGACAAGTGTCGGACACAAACACGCTACCCTACCTAGAGTGTCCGAGCTACAAAGCCATCAATGATTTGGACTCCTAGAGAAATGGGGGAGCAAAAACACTTGAATGACTAATCAGAAAAACGTGATTTAAAAATAGACACAAAATAATTGCATTCTCTTTAGCATTATGAAATTTGGACCATGACTATGAAACGAAAAAAAAAAATTGCATTTATACTTGTCACATATACACAATGATACTTGATGAAACTCGATGCCTCTATATGATAGGTTCTCTCATTGTATAATAGCAAAATCACAACTAGATATGGTAGCCATCAATTACAATATTCATTAATAATAACCTATTAAATATAGTAGCTTCCCTTATAATCGAACTTTTTTTATATTCCATTGACATTCCCCCTCAAATTGATACCGGTAAAAGTATCAATTTACAATCATAAACTGGTAACGATAACAATGTTCGTGCCCATGAAGAGGAGACCCAAATCAAAGCAATCAACTACAAAAAATAGCGGAAAAAGAGACCCAAGAATAACAAATAGTGTAGAAATAGCCAAGGACCACTCCAATAATACTCCAAAGCCACACCCAAGGATAATCTTCCTCAAGTATCCAAGATGAAGTCAGACAGAAAATAAATCCAATAACAGTCCAAAACCCAATAAAATAGCCCAACAAATACAACAACATAGCTCACAAACAACCCATATCCATCAATCACAAAATCAAATCAAACCAAGCCTAACCGACCTCCTACCCAAAAACCTTAACCTAATCTAATTATAAAACCAAACCTAACAAATGCAAATGATTTCACTACAAAACTGAGGGAAAGCTTTTATCCCAAAGCCTAGCAAATCCATTACCCAATTTGAAAACATAACCTAGCCTATTAACCTAACAAGCCCACTCCAATAAATCAACCCAAACCACTAACCACAAACCATATCTCAGCCCAATACACAACTAGCCTAATAACTATAAAAATAAACTAAACAACAGTCCACACAATTAGCCACAAAAGATCAGCCCATATACACAAACCTTAAATCATAACAAAACAGACCCAGTACCTAACTGACCCAGCCCAAATCAACTTTCATCTTCTTTACACCATGGTTGTTCTTTGCAATCAGCCACAACACCCACAGATCGACCTGCAACAAACACCTCTTACATCCACCACCACGAACTCAATCAAGCCCCCTTCAAATTTCTGCAATTCGTCGACGTATCAACACCCAACCAACAATGCCCATCAACCAACCATCACAACCAAACAGTAAACCCCCCACGATAACACACAACAATCCATTGCTAAGCATATCCCTACAAACAAACCAATATCTAGACCTTCTTTCATCATTGCCGAAAATTCATGTTGCCCCTCTCATGCCAACTCTGTCTCTCTTTAAATTAAGTCCATATCCCAGTGCCAATTTCTCACCAATCGACAACAGAAAATGCAACCACACCCTTGTCAAAAGCAACTCTAAAATAAATCACCAAGAACACAAAAATACGACTCTTGACAAGAGGGGCAAAAAGCTCCTCCTGTCATCAGAAAACCCAACCAAGAAAATAAGAGAGAATTTTAATGAAGAAACTCTGATTGATACCATGTCAAATACGCTCAATGATACTCAATAAGAACCAATACCTCTCAATGTGAGAGGTTCTTTTATTATATAAAACCAAAATCATAACTAAATATAGTTGGTATCAATTACAATATTCATTAATGATAACCTATTAAATATGGTAGTATTTCTTATTTTCGAGATTTCCCTATATTCCATTGACAATACTAAAATTATTACATTTCCTAATTACTAAGCCTTACTCTCGTGTTACCAACAAAGCATTGGGGAAATTGGGAAAATGGGAGAAGTCTATTCACTACAATGAAGTAATCACAAATTGGCAACAGAATATTTGGGTAAACAAATAATGATGCCTAAAAATTAGAAATGAGTAAAGATTATGCAATCAACCAAAAGACATATCAATCCCACAATCAAGCAATCAACTTTTTTCTCATTCCAAAACTAAGTAAATTTAAGGGAAAATTATAGCAACGGTCCCAAATCTTTCACTTTTTTGCAGACTTTATCCGAACTTTCATTTTGTACTACTCACAGTCCAGAACCTTTCAAAATATGCACCTGAGGTCCAAATGAATGGAAACCATCCATTTGACCGTTAGTTGACCAAAAAGTCAAAGTTTAATCAATTTTGACCAAACTAAAAAGGGAAAAATGGTATAATTATATTTTTCCAAATATTATTGACAAAAAAAAAAGGAAAGAAAAAGAAAAAGAAATATTCTTCTTCTTCCCATAGCTGCCAACACCACCACCACACCCAACCCCTACATAAACCAAACCCGACAACACCACCACAACCTACACACCGACAACTAATCAGCCACCTCCCAAAGTCACCACAACTCCACAGCCTTCAACCACCACCAAACTACCATTTCCTTGCCCTCCAACCGCTGCCCAAACCAACCCAACCCAACCCAATTTTTCAGGCTAAGAAATGACAACAGGCTTCTCAGCTCCAAAGGGCTTTACAAGCTTTGATGCATTTCCATTCCCAATGCCCTTATCAAGTTGCTTCATGAATCATTTTCTTATATCTGACTGCAAATCAATGTGAAATTCCAATAAATTCCCTTCTCAATATTCCACTCAAAGTTAAAATAAAAGACAAATCATAAACAATCCTAACATAGAAATGGGTTGAAATGATAAACTACAACCCAGCATACGGAAAATTATATATTATATATATATATATAGGGTTAAGGTTTATGGTTCAAGGGGTTTTCAAAACTGGGGTTTTTGAACAGTATTATGTCCTTAAAGCCTCAGTATTCCATTGGCAGTGGAAGACTTGATATTTTGTCCATTGGCAGTGGCAGAGTCCTTAAAGCCCAAAAGCCTTGTAACTTTTGGGTTCGATTTAGAGACACGATGTTAGAGTTTAGAAGGAATAGAAGTGAAAGGTGATGGTTCGATTTAGTGGAGGTGGTTTTGGTTTTTGGGTGGCTGTGAGTTTGGTGGTGGCGGTCAGCAGCTTTGGATTCTGGTTTAGTTGGAGGGGTAGGGGTGGGGGTGAAGGTGGGGACCGGGAAGAATATGAAGATAGGGGTGCTTTATTTTCCTTTTTTTTTCCTTAGTTTAATTGTTATAATATTGAAAAAAAAATGTTAATTCTAAAGTTACCATTTTACCCCTTTCAATTTGGTCAAATTGGTCAAAGTCCAATTTTCTTAGTCAAATAACGGTCGAATGGACGGTTTTCCATTCATTTGGACCTCAGGTGCATATTTTTGAAAGGTCTGGGATTGTGGGTGGCACTAAATGAAGGTTAAGATAAAGCCTGCAAAAAAATAAAATGTTTGGGACCAATGTTGCAATTTTCCCTAAATTTAATTTGGGAAACTTGTAATATGATTAATTAAAAATTTGTGGGTTTTTTTTTTGGCTGATGCCACTTATTCTCATATGTACACCTGATAAATGTTTTTCTTATCAGTGTTCAAAATTTCAGCATTCACATTGTTCTGAAAACTAATCTTGATTGAATGGTCGATCTCCTTCCCTATGGTCTTGTAACTGATCCTCCATTTCCCTGGCAAAGAATAAAACATCAAGGAGATATCACATGCACTCATTAACAATATAGAAGAGAGTAATTAGCAAAATTACAGCAAGACCTGGAGCACATCTCACCTCTGTTTTTTATTGACAAATTGTGTATATGCAAAACTGAAATTGGGATGCACCAACAGCAATGCAGCCTTGACTTTTTAAAAGTTATCATAATATCATCAGTTTCCACGAGACTATGGCCTCGATATCTACAATAGCAATAATATTAGATTTTTTATTGCTGTCATGCAATACACGAAACATGGCTGCTACAGAGCTAAGAATTCTAACTTAGAAATTTGTAATAAAAAGTGATAGATAAAATGATCATATTCCATATACCATCTAAAATATACGAAAGTTCATTATTTAAAAAAAAATTAAGGATGCCCAAAAGCATAAAGTTATTACACAAACTAGAAGCCATTTGGTTATTCATCTCAGCATACAAGACCACTTGATCAAATGATGCACCAATCTAAATCTTGATCAAAGCTTTCTGTTATAACAGTTTTCTTAGCTCTATTAACTAAAGAAATCTTAGGACACTGGCGAAATTCGAGAAAAGACTGTCACATAGCCACAATTATCAACCATACTCCCCTGCTATCGTCAACTCATCTCTTGGAGTCTTGATTCATTTTGAAGCTTCGATCATAGTGAATATCACTGGCCTTGACTTTTTAAAAGTTATCATAATATCATCAGTTTCCACGAGACTATGGCCTCGATATCTACAATAGCAATACTATTAGATTTTTTTATTGCTGTCATGCAATACACGAAACATGGCTGCTACAGAGCTAAGAATTCTAACTTAGAAATTTGTAATAAAAAGTGATAGATAAAATGATCATATTGCATATACCATCTAAAATATACGAAAGTTCATTATTTAAAAAAAAATTAAGGATGCCCAAAAGCATAAAGTTATTACACAAACTAGAAGCCATTTGGTTATTCATCTCAGCATACAAGACCACTTGATCAAATGATGCACCAATCTAAATCTTGATCAAAGCTTTCTGTTATAACAGTTTTCTTAGCTCTATTAACTAAAGAAATCTTAGGACACTGGCAAAATTCGAGAAAAGACTGTCACATAGCCACAAATATCAACCATACTCCCCTGCTATCGTCAACTCATCTCTTGGAGTCTTGATTCATTTTGAAGCTTCGATCATAGTGAATATCACTATTCAAAATTATTTTTACAATGCATACGTGCAAACATATGTAATACAATGATCAAATCGGTATTCTGGCACCAACACAATGATCGAAAATCGACCTACACATATGGATAGATGTGCAACTGTCGCTGAGCATTTAGTTCAGAAATTTTCACATATACATGTATGTATATCCACACATACATAATATTCATCTATCATGTAGCTTTGTAAGCAAATAAAGATTGAATATTTTGAAAGCATTGAGAATTTAAGAGTAATGGTCACCTCTTATTAGAAGATTTCTTAATCAAATTGGGATTTCCGGTTGAAATCCATGGCCGAAAGCTGTGTAACTGCAGCATATCTCTCCCTATTTCTTCCCCTCAAATTTTCTCGAATATATTTATCCACCTTATATTAAAATGGCAAAAAGGTAGGTTCTTGAGAATTCCTTAATGCTAATAAAAGAATGACAAAACGTACTAAATGGCATAGGGTGAAGGAAACCCAGAAATTGACAAGACCAAGAAAAGCCAAAAGGATTATTTAGAGTGGAGTTTCTGCCCTATATGAGTCACTTCAGAAATTATTATTATTGTTTTTAATCTCATTTTTATAATAACATTTTTAAAAAATAATAATAATAATAATCTTGAGAATTCCTTAATGCTAATAAAAGAATGACAAAACGTACTAAATGGCATAGGGTGAAGGAAACCCAGAAATTGACAAGACCAAGAAAAGCCAAAAGGATTATTTAGAGTGGAGTTTCTGCCCTATATGAGTCACTTCAGAAATTATTATTATTGTTTTTAATCTCATTTTTATAATAACATTTTTAAAAAATAATAATAATAATAAGTTTACCCTTTTTTTTTTACTTTCTAATCGCATATTTTTTTAAAATTCATTTTTTACAAAATTTATTCTAAAAAAATATGGCTCAAATATGAATTATAAAAAGAAAGTATTGTCAATTGGAATTAATCTAAACATATAAATGAAATTTTTCTTTGAAAATTTACGGTTTTGTGGGTGCACAATTGTAAGGACAGAAATCAGCATAATTTTTGTTTCCATGTTGCAGTCACATGATGTGTACTCTATGCTCAAAAAATTTAACCGGAAGTCGGTCAACTTGCATGTTAATTTTACTTGGATCGTATAACTTTAATGTATTATAATTTGATTAATCAATTTATTTTTATTTTTATTTGGCCGTTTTATTTAAAATCGTTATTAAAACTAGCGAAATTCTTGATCTGGTCAAGGAACACGTCTTAATTTATATTTTTCGCTAAATAATTTTTGTATGTTCACTATTTATATATACCAAGCCCCTATTTGGTAGCAATTTTTCATTTTAAAAAATTAATTTTTTAACTTTTATTCACTATTCCAGTCGTCATTTTCTACTTCTTCATTTATAGGTGAGACTCACTTTTTCTCTAACGATCAAAAAATCAATTCTCAAAATCACTACCGAACAGGCCCCAAAAGAAAAAGTTCGCCTCTTTTGTTTTAAAAGAGCAAATCTTTCACAATAAAGCAATAAGTATATAAATATTGGGTTGTTCTATTAACCATGGCATAGTTTTCACTTACCATGTCATGAGATTTGGCTACAAGTCTATAAATTCTATCAATTTTGCTAATAGTTTATTGTTAGTGACAAATGGTTAAACTAAAATATAAATAAGTTGGGTGATCAAATTGTAATTTAAGTATAAGTTGGATGGTCAAATTGAGACAAATTATAGTTAAGTGACCATTACAACACAACACAAAATATGTTAGGTGACCTCCCGTGAAAGTTGTTTTATGAAAATTAAATGCCAATCCTAAGTCGTGGCTTCGTTTATGGCAGCATCCCAGTCATTTTCTCCAAGAGAATTTGAGAACAATAAATAATCTTGAAACAAAAACTATTTTTCTGTTGATCAAAGTTAAACATAATGATAATAATAATAATAATAATAATTTATTTTCTAAATAATTTTGCACATAAATTTAACATCATTTTCTATTTTTTAACCATATATTTTTAAAAAATCTCTATTTTTAAACTCAAAATTTCTTTAAAAAAAAGAAAAATTAATAATAGTCAAACAAAGGTTTATGAAAAAGGTGAATTGAAATGTGTTGACATTTGCAATTCATTATTTAACCCCAACAACTCCACGTGTGAGTTCGTACAAGATTGCAACTTGCAAGGGGAATCTAACCCTATTTGAATTTTTTCCAATTATAATAAGAGGAATAGTGTTTTTTTTTTAAAAAAATGAGTAATTGTAAAAGAATGAAAAATTTTTGATTTACGTGTAATATCATTTTATTGAAAATTGTGTGATTGAAAATAAGAGTAAGAAAATTTTAATTTAAATTGATGAGATTTAAAGGGGCCAAACGGGGTTTAAATCTGTTTGCCCCATTTTTTGAAATAAAAATGGGTGAAATAATATTTTAAAAAAAATGAGTGATTGAAAAAAGGGAAAAAAAATTGTATACATGTAATATTATTTTATAGAATATTTTGTGATTAAAAATGGGAGAGAAAAAATGAAATGAAATTTAATGAGAGTCAGACAAGGCACAACTTTCAACCACACATTTAATCAATCTTTATCAAAATTTATTAAAAATATGAGTTTAATCCCACCAAACAACGGCCTAGTACTTAAAACTCAAAGGACAATGGCATGTGAGGGTATATGTAAAATTTTTACGATCCATTTTCCTCTTGGGCTTTGCTTAGTATACATAATTTTTTGTATATCAAGGTGTCTTACACTCACAGGGGTGGGGCCCACTCGAATATAATATCTTAATGCATAAAAATTATGTACAAGTAGTTTTATCCTTTCTTCTTTAATTTTGTTGGAAATTTTTTTTATTTTTATCTGTAACAAAAAATTTTAATATTTTTCCTGATGGGGAAAAAATGGAATTTTGGGTAGCTTTGGGTTGTCTAAAAGCACTTTGTACCTAGTTATGTCTTAATCATTGAAACTTTACAGACTATAAATATTTTAATTAAAATCTATCTTTCTTGTGAAATTTTGAGATAGTTGCTCTTCAAATGTGGTATCGTTATTGTCTATGTTATCTCTACGATAAAATGTGTTGGGGGAATTCAGACTTTGCGACCTTTTTATGGCAAATATTATTGGATGAATTAATTATCATAATTTTGCTTATTCAAACTTTTACAGTGTTATAAGTAATCATAATTAACAAAAATGAATAAGAAAACTAAAATATGCCTATCAAATTTCATTGCTAAAGACCAATGTTTTAGAAATCGATCAAACCATCAATCCGAAAAAGAGAAATGGTCGAAAGATTGAAAGGGAGTCGAACTAGGATTGTTCTGATTTTTGAAACATTACTATAGACATTACCAATTTGACTCCGAATCCCCCAAGTCAATAACTGCATTTAATATTTTATACAAAAATTGGAATATTTTCATGTAGATTACTTAGGAACCTTGAAATTAAATTATGATTTTTCCTTAACATTTTAATATTTTACATATTTTTTAAAAAAATAAAAATAAAAAATCCCTTTTCTTTGTCGTTTGTACATTGAAGTTTGGTTTGCCAATTTTCCCTTCTTAGACTATCAATTAGGCCCTGTTTGAACTGCATTCTTTAAAAAAAAAAATTATATTTTTAAACAGTAATTTGACATTATTTCAACTAAATATTTTTCAATAAAATAATATTATATGCAAATCCAAAACTTTTCCTCATTTTTTAACCAAAAATTCTCCATCAATCCACTATTCTAAAATATATTCTTTCAAAATAATGTGACTCAAACACAGTAAACTTTCCTCTCATTGGACGATGTTTTATAGTGTTTTCTAAATATTAATTATTTATTGAATGTGTTTGTCCTTTTATTGACGTTTTCAAAAGATATTTATTCAGGAATTTCAAAATTTTGTAGAGAAAAATCTCTGTGTAGAGAAAAATCTCTGTGTGGGACCATTGAATTGCAAAGAAGAATACGACCACCATATTTTTCGACATTGTAATCACCAAATATAATTTGTACATGCTTGCCTGTTCTTTTAGTTAAATTTAGAGGTGGGCGTGGGTCAGTTCGATTTGGTTCTAAAAAGAATTGAATCGAATCAAAATTTTCGGGTATTTAGTAAATGGAACCGTCGGGTCCAAATATAATTATGGAACCGTTCGGGTTCGGTTCCGTTCGATTCTGTACTATAATTAATTTTTTTAACATTT